CTTTCTCAAAACAGGGGGACCCCAAAATAGACCCCAAAATAGTATATAATCCTTATCTAGTGGTACTTTCTCAAAATAGGGGGACCCCAACATAGACCCCAAAATCGTATAATCCTTATCATGGGACCCCCAATAGAGCCTATTGAGGAGCGGGAGTCTGCCGTTTGAGGGCCGCGATGCCGAGGAGATGCAGAAGACTCTCGTCGGACTAAGCTTTTTTGTTGAGGAATCCTTTGGGGAGCCCATATGTACTGTAGTCTAAACTTCTTAAAGGCGAGTATTATAAGGGCTATTCAGGGGGATACCAGGATTTAAGACGTATAGCTCATATGATTAAGGGTGGACGCATAACTCTGGAATCCCAAAAATGAGGCAGTCATAGTTTCCCTTCAGTAAAATTGTTTTGGGGTTTTGGGTTTTCAGGTTTGGAGGGTTGGTTCAGTCTAAGTTGAAGACTTGAAGTTTCCCCGAGGAAGGACGCATGCAGAGGCCACAATCTTCTGTGGGTTGCCAGCGTTATATTCGAGGGTGGAGTTATTTCACTGGGCACACAGAAAATGATCTATACTCATGAGCATCCCATAGGAAACCAAACTTGTTGAGTAATGTTGACCGTGTGGAGGCTGTTTAATGTTTGCAGTTGAATGTTGGGAAGGGCGGAGCAGGTTTGGGCAGGCTTGATAAATCCGCCTAAACCCTAAATACTTGCCCGGCCTCAGTCTCGCTACGCGCTTATGGTGGCATCCGGGACTTTCTCAATGGGCGGTCTGCAGAAGAATCATCTTGACATGTGTGATGTTGGGTGGGCGTATACGGGGGGTCATGAGGGGTCTTCAGAAATTGGGGTGCCCAATATAGACGCCAGCAGGCGAGAATCCTTAGTCTAGCGACTCCACAAAAGCTGTTTTTGAACCCCCCCCTCTCTTTTCAAAAACATCCTAAACACTAAACCCTAACTCCCAAACCCTAAACCCATGGCCAAGCTGTTGCTGCGATTGCCTGAAGCCGGAGTTGATATTTGCCTGATAGGGTCGGCCTTTGGACCGTGCTGCAAGAGCATTTCTAAGGACTGGTGCCTTGGAGAAAAGGTCACCCCCCGCACCAAAAAAACTAAACCCACTTGAGGAAGATCACCAACGCGAAGGTCACCTGGTGCCAGGCCCATCTGCCTCTACGACCTACCGAATAGATTGGATCTCTGCATGTCAGCAGAAATGAGCTAATCCCCTCCCCCCAAGATTTTCTGCCCATTGTGGTATATAGTATATTGTGCGTATTTACTGTTAGGGGGGGTTGAATCTGAGGGCAGGAGAATTTACTGCAGATCAGCCTAAAGCCACAGATTTGTGAGGTTTCTTGAGCAGGAACTTGAATTCGAACAGGAACTTGAATTCGCTGGGTATCCTGCCAGGCTTTCGGGTTCAGGGTTTGGGGGGTATCTTCACAAAGGGGGTACATAGGGCATTTACTCTTCTATGGTACTATCCCACTCAATTCCGTGGCTTCAGGTGGGTGGACGGGCGGAATGTGAATCCTTTTGAGCGTTTCAGGGTTTAGGGTTTGAGTGTGCTTGGGGGCCTTGGCTGAGAGGTTCTCTGGCCCAGGATTTAAGACCTTTCAGGTTTGGGATTTGTGGTTCTCACCTCGTTCATGATGGGTGAATGGGTTTGCAGCCTGGACCAATTGAAACATTCCCGAAAGCCAATCTCTAACAGTCTGTACAATACAGTTGCATCTCCAAAGCTTTTTTGAAGATGTAGCCTGGTCTGTTACTTGTAAACATATGCATTGATCATTGGTAACGGAGCCGCGCCTCAACGGGTGGGTTTGCTTTGCAGGAGTGGATGTCGCGATCAGGTGTGGGCCCCAGCTGGCGCCAGCGCAGGACAAGTTCTCTTAAACCCAAGCCGTAAACCGAAATTTTGCACCCCTAGCCCTCTCTACTTCGTGGAGTCCGTCACGTCAACATCTTGTTAATTCAGGTTCTAGGAGTCTTTTGAGAAGTGAGCCGCAAAGCACTTTTCTTGAGTCTTTTTCTGTGCTCATCTTGAGACGGAGGGAAACATTTCCAGTTCATCTAAGCTATTGAGCGGGATTCCCTAAGCCTTAAAGAATCCCACAAGAGAAGTCTGAAGAGGGACCCCCAGCATTCCATGGCTTCACTAGCAAGGTTCTCCTTATGAGACCCCCGAATTCCCACTGAAGCCCAGCCATTCCCTAACCCGTAAAGCCTTCAAACACATCTGGACCCTAAACCCGAAACTCCTAAGCCCTAAGCCGCCCTAACCCCTGTACCCCCTAATCACCCAGAATGTGATCCACGTAGAATCCTGTTGCCCAGGTGAGGCCATGAACTTAGCCCGCCAGCTTCTCCACTCCAATGAGGGCTCTCGGATCGAAGCCTCCCAGGCTGGGACTGAGGGTGTAGGTTTAGGGTTTAGGGTTTAGGGTTTAGGGCCTAGGGTTTAGGGTGTAGAGCTTCAGGGTTTGGGGTCTAGGGTTGAGGGTTTTGGGTGTAGGGCTGTAGGCTTCAAGGTTTTGGTTTCAGGGTTTGGGGGTTTGAAGTTCTAGAAGGGATATCCTGGAATTTAGAGTGTAGAGGGCTATAACGGGATTGTGGAAGGGGTATGCTGGAAGATGTAGGTGCGGGGCGCAGGGTTTAGGGAGCAACAGTCAAAGGACCTAAAGGCTGTGGAGTGAAGATGACATGGACCAGTTTGACGACACGATGATTTCATGCGCTTAGCTTTCAAGCTTCCGGCGCTGTTGCCTTTTAGATTATGGCCCCCCTTAAGTACATAGAATTTTGGGTATATGGGGATCTCAATATGATTTTTGGGGAATTGCATATTCTATCTAATTAAGGGGGACTATACCTCCTTGAAGTTCAGGGTTGAACCCTAAACCCTAGACCCGACTTGCCTCCCTGCCCGAGTCTGTTTTGCCCTCGGATTAGAGCCAATTATGCAAGGTGTTTTCCCAGGGCCATTTGGTAGTTTCCCAAAACAGGGGGACCCCAATATAGACCCCAAAATAGGATAATCCGTAACATGGACCCACAAAGGTACCCCACATTTTCGGAAACCCCCCCATTTCATATCTCCCACCTCTACGAGATTATTCCCGGATCCAATCATCATCTTGGCCTCTCCCACCAAACATGCCATGCTTGTGAGGCGCTGAAGCACAAGTGGTTCTCCAAGAGGGTGCCCAGAAGGAGGTTAGCGGCTGTGGACGAGGACTCTGCAAGCTACTCCCAAATCAATCTCATATGGCTGCTGTCCAAAGCCTGCCTGCACATAAAAGGCCCGAGTGCGCTAGATAGTGAGTGAACTAAGCCACCTTCTTTGCGTGGGGGGCAGCCACGGTAAATCCGAGCGTCGCGAGACCATTTTCAGGGTCCTTCATAGCCCGCGGAAGAAGGTGTATCCTTGTTTACGGCAGGGCGTCCCAACTTAGGAACCTCCCCATACCTAATGGCGGACTAAGGTGTTGGTTTAGCTGCCACAACCAGAGGTGAGGGTTCAGTTTTTGGTTCTATGTTGCTCTCGACTATTAGAAGCCTCATTTCGAGGAGATTTGCAAAGCGGCCCAACATCTCGACAGGTTTCTCGACGTGTAGCATCTTGAAAGGCAGAGGGCCTCTATAGGCTCAGGCCACTCTCATACTCCTTGCAACCCCAATGCGATCAGGGTCTTGTCTAGTCCCTCCAGCAGGAAGCCAGATACAGAGTCCTAAAAGCTTGGCATATGTAGCAGGATAGGCCTTCCTGTATTTTTGCTCCACGAGTGCTGTTTTCCACTTCGTGGCCATGTGTCCGAAGTTGCGTCAGGAGATCCTTAACAGCCTCCGTGGGTTCCGGAAGCTCAACAAGTTCCGGAAGGCCAAGAGCATGAAGATTCCCGACGCCGTGATGACAGCCGCGCTGTTATGGGTGCTGTTGTGGCTATTGCTTCTGAGTAGTTGCAAATACAGCCTACAGAAGTGTGGTGTACGTGGCTCTTATGTGCTGCACCAAGCTTGGCAAACACGGTATCCCGATGCCTTCATCCCCAATCGAAAAAACCTCAGAATTTGTACAGCAATGCGGTGTAGATAGTTATAGCCATCATGATTTCACGAGATTCTGTTGAGGACTGCGATGCGGCCAGGGCAGGGTAAGCTAGCCTAGATATTCGGTGAGGGCCGAAAGCCCTAAACTCGGAACTCTGGCCCCAGGCGTCGCTGGCGGTGATAGCGAGCATGTTGCCGGAGAAGGTCATCCGCCCTGGTCGAGACTTGCCAGGGCCTTGGGTTCGATAGGCCTCCCTGCCAGGGCATTTTGAATGGGGAAGCAAAAGCCCTACAATCTGGCAATTCTGCAGCAATCCCCAAGAAGAGACCCGGCTGTAGAAGCACGAGCTATCAGAGGCAGGCGCCAAGCAGCTCACCTCATCACCACCACTTGCAACCAATAGCAAGTTTGATTCTTGTGATCTTACCGTTGGTGCCTGCTCGAGACACCATTGGGCTGTTCGAGTCCCACATGAACGATTGTGCAGGAATCATTGCGAGTCCGATTAGGTCTACCCGTCAGACCAATATAAGATGCTACGTAGAAAAACTCAGCCTGAAGAATGGTTACGCAGGAGGACGGGAGATGGTTCCTCTTGTCGCTGTTAACATTACTATGATGTTGTGCTCTTCCGAAGCTGCCACATGTTGCGCTAACATGGTTTCCATTGCTGTCCGTAACTTCCGCGTCATTACGTGGAACCCATTGAGGTTCATCTACCTGGACAAGGATGGTGATGGCGAGGTTCCAGCTGTCAGGAAGGATTTGTTCGAAGTTCTGGATCAATTCGGTAATTATACCAAAGTAGGAGGACCCAAATGCAGACCGCAAAATACTAGAATCGTTCTTATAAGGACCCTCAAAAACTTACCCTAATCTGGGAAATCCCCATATCTGCTGCAGACAACACCTGCCGAATCTAGGTGCTGCGCAGGATGATTTCAGGGATTGTCTCGGAATACTATTGAGATTGCTCTTTGGGGCGAGATTTTGGCAGTTCATACATTTTTTGGGCTGTGTCAGACAAAGGTTTAGGGTCTAGGGTTTAGGGCTCAGTGAGGATTACGATGGCCCGTCTAGTTGGTTAGCTGAGATGACGAAATCAGATTGCGATGCTCGCGGATGCTGCTGTTATTGTGTGTCGCTGGCAAGGAACTTGAATTAAGTTGCTATGATCTGGATCAATGTTAGGGATCCTTTATACTTTTCTTGGTATGGGATTCCTTATCTTTATGTAAAAAGGGTCCTTTGTTTCTGCCTAGGGTAATGTGGGCTAAGTATTGAGGAAATCCTATTATCTATGGTACATACTCAATTTCCTTAACGGCAGCCAGGTTATGTAATGTTGCAATGTTGTTCTCTCAAACCTCAGAGGATGCAGTATATGGGTGTCTGGCAAGAACGTTTCAGGAGTTCTATTTTTTCCCTTCTCACCTGTTCCTATGTAGAACCCTACAGAACTGCGATGGCCCTTGTCGTCTTGAACGTCGTCCTCGCCGCCGCCGGCATTGTCTTCCAGCCTGCCCACTACATGGTAGATTCCCAAACTGAGGGGACCCCAATGTAGACCCCAATATATTATAGTCCTTCTTATGGGGACCCCCAAAATGGTACACCCAATTTTGGGAACCCCCCCACGGGACGGCTACCAACTACCACCCATCAGAAGCTCTCAGCTCTACACCCTTAAATGCCCAAACCCTGAAGCCCAAGGCCCTGAACCCCTGACTGACCCTTGAAAATCCCAACTGTGAACAAATCTTTTTAAGTTCTATGCCCTCAACCCCAAAACCCTACACTCAACTCCTTCAGACACCAGGCTATTGTAGGAGCCTACAACAATACCAACGTTATGGTCGCTTTAGGATCTACGGTTTAGGGTTCAGGGTTCATGGCTTAGGGCTTAGAGTCCTAGAGCCCCTGTATACGTACAGCGCATGGCACCTCAGGCCTCAACATGATGTGGGTAAAGGCTTAGGGCTTAGGGTTTAGGGTTGAGGGTTTAAGGTTAATGGTTTAGGGTGACCCCTTCAGACATGTACACTAACCTATACCCTATATAAATCCATTGTCCATTTCATGTTCCATGTTCTTTACATTAGAACCTCTTAAATTCGGACTACCCTACATGACATGATATGGTAGCTTCCATTTCTGTTTTTTAGACCCTAAGCCCTATACCCTAAATCCTGAACCCCACACCCTAAGCCCTTAAACCCTAATCCCTAAACCCTAAACCCCAAACCCTAAACCCTTCACCCTAAACCCTAAACGCTAAGCACTACACCCCTAAACCCGAAACCTGCATCCTCCAGCGGAACCAGGTGACCCTCACGGAGCTCCGGGAGGCGATGGAGGACTTGAAGACAAACAAGCCGCCACCTGGTATGGGTTTAGGGTTTAGGGTATAGGGTTTAAGGCTTATATAGGGTATAGGGATTAGGGTATAGGGTGGGTATAGGTTTTAGGGCTTAGGGTTTAGGGATTCAGGCTTACGGTTCAGGGCATAGGGTTTAGGGCTTTGGGTTTAGACCCATGGGTTCACTGACGGATAAAGTTGTTGGTAAGAAATGGAGGAATGGAACAGAATGATACTTGGGGTTCAGGGCTTAGGGATGTTATTCCCGAATATTTGAGAATCACATGGAAGTCCAAACTGGAAATCAAGTGGACGCTGTGGTTACGTAGGGCAAGACTACAGTCCCCCCATATCAGCAAGATTGTGTTCAGCGGTTCAAAGTACTTCCTGGTTGTTGGGGTGGAGGAGTGGATCCCTGTGGTATAGCGGCCTTTGTATATTCCCGAAAAAATGTAGTAGTTAACAGTTTCCCTTCCGCTCCTTCATTCCCCACTAGCAAGGAGTGTAGGGAGACAGGGTGTTGGGACCTGTGGGCTTATGGGTTAGGCCTATGAGCAGGCTGATACGGATACTCAACAACCTGTAGAATACCATAATTCCCGAAGTGTAGGGTCATGCACGACTATTAATTTTAAGATCAACCCTAGAACCCTTACACAATCCAGCTTCCATTCATTTTTCTATGTTGTGTCCCACTTGATTCTCCATCGTTGCTACCCTGTTGTGGAGATTGCGTCTCTTTTTTTGGTCGGATGTTCTACAGTGAGTGCCCAGGAAAGATGCCTCCCGCGTGTCAGAGGACTGACTGGTGTCTAGCTTAATTCGCTTGAAGGTTCATGGGTAGTTATAAGTAGGGTTATAAGTAGGGTAACTATAGTTATAACCCATATTAGGGGACTTATAACCCCACTTATAACTACC